AGGCGGGGCGCCCGCGCCCGCTTCCTGTGATGGCATTCGCCTCCCGCTCGGGCGGGGAGACCGGGCTGGAGCCCTGGGAGCAGCGGACGGCGCTCCGGTGTTTCCGCTTGAACTCGCTGCGTGCGCTTCTCGGTGGCCCGGAGCGCGGCGCGGAGTCGCGGGGAGAGCAGCGGCTCCTCGGGGCGGGCGGGCTCCGGCGCTCGCAGCCCGGCGTGTTTTGAAGAAGGTGATCTTGTAATGGCTTCCACTGGGCACGTAGGCCGAGGCAAGCGCCGCGCGAGAAGGCTGCTGGTGTCCCCGCGCTGTGCGGCCCTTTTCGGAAGCGCTTCGCGGAAACAGTTCCCACTCGTTCGTGAAGTTTCGAATAAACCAAACTTCACTTTTCACAGGAAAGGGGAGGTCCATAGCTTTTTGTTTTTGTCTTTTATGTCTTTAAACATCAAAAAACTGAGAGTGAGAGGTTCCTTGTCCACTTATCCTTTGGAGTCCTTCGAGTTCCTGTGCAGTTAGCTGAGTTCACCAGTTTGCAGGATTCCTTCCGACCCCGTGGTCGTTACCGTGTGCAGAGTGACTGGACTTCTGGCTTCCTCATGGAGAGCGTTGAACTGCCGAAGGAGAGAACGGGGGAGGCAACAGTTTCCTATTTAGTGCTTTGGGGTGTTTTAAAGTAACTTAGATCAACACTACAAATGGAGTGTTTCTTGTTTTTGTTTTGCAACAGAAAAAGGTGTTTGAGCACTTGCATGCCAGTGGGAGATGTAGTTGATGATTACGAAGTCAAGCAATTGATAAAGCTTTGGAGTGAGGTGGAGAAAAGAGAAAAGCGTTTGTTACATTTATTTTTGGTGACTGCAGTGAGAAGAATTAGAAATTAGATGGCCAACATGATGAGCTGAGGCGCCGTTTTGTCAATTAGAAATTGACAAAAATATTTCTTTGGGTTGCTGAGGATAGAGCCCAGGGCTGGGCAGATGTTGTACTGCTGAGCTAATCCTCAGTTTAACAAAAATATTCTAAAGGTTTTTTTGTAACAGATGAAGCTCATGGAGCCGCAAAGGTTGTATTAAAAATGCCCCTCTTTGGGTTGTGAAGTAGAGTGCTGCCCCGACTTCAGGCTGCTGAGAGTTGGGTTTAAGCTTGCCCTCCTTGTTTTTCTCCCCGTTCAGAGTACCATGGCCACCCAGGTGATGGGGCAGGCGTCCGGAGGAGCAGGGCTGTTCCCCAGCAGCGGCAACATGGGCATGGCCCTGCCCAACGACATGTACGACCTGCACGACCTCTCCAAAGCTGAGCTGGCGGCGCCTCAGCTCATCATGTTGGCCAACGTGGCCCTCACTGGGGAAGTGAGCGGCAGCTGCTGTGATTACCTGGTCGGTGAGGAGAGGCAGATGGCCGAGCTGATGCCCGTTGGGGATAACAACTTCTCAGACAGCGATGGCGAAGGGCTGGAGGAACCTTCCGGAATAAAAGGTGAGCCTAACGGGCTCGAGAGCATGGAACTGGGGAATCTGGAGCTCAGTGTTGTAGAACCGCAGCCTGTGTTTGAGGCGCCAGCTGCCCCTGAGATTTACAACTCAAATAAAGAGCTTCCTCCCGAAGCACCTGGAGCAGAGGACAAGTGCAAGAGCCTGAAGACCAAACCCTTCCGCTGTAAGCCATGCCAGTACGAAGCAGAATCTGAAGAGCAGTTCGTGCATCACATCAGAGTCCACAGTGCCAAGAAGTTTTTTGTGGAAGAAAGTGCAGAGAAGCAGGCCAAAGCCAGGGAGTCCGGCTCTTCTGCTGCCGAAGAGGGAGATCTCTCGAAGGGCCCCATCCGCTGTGATCGCTGTGGCTACAACACCAACCGGTACGATCACTACACGGCGCACCTGAAGCACCACACCAGAGCAGGGGACAGCGAGCGCGTGTACAAGTGCATCATCTGCACGTACACCACGGTCAGCGAGTACCACTGGAGGAAGCACCTGCGCAACCACTTCCCGAGGAAGGTGTACACGTGCGGCAAGTGCAACTACTTCTCCGACAGGAAGAATAACTACGTCCAGCACGTGCGCACACACACAGGTGAGAGAAGCCTTGCAGTCCATTAGTTCAACCCTCACTTTTTTTTGGTGGCAGTGCTGAGGAGTGAACCCAAGGCCTTCAAACTGAACTACATTTCCAGCCCACTCATCTGCATCTGTTTGTGACAGGGTCTTGCTCTGTATTTCAGGCTGGCCTCAAACTTGGGAGCAGTCCTCCTGCCTGAGCCTCCTGAGTGCTAGGATGAGCGGCTTGTGCCGCCACGCCCACCCTCACTTTCTGATTTAAGGGTGTCTGTTTTTTGAGACAGGCTTACTGCCATTCAGGCTGGCCTTGAACTGGCTGCTTAGTACCTCAGCTTGGAGTGTTGTGTTTTTATTAATGTTTGAGGTGCACAATAATTATGTTGATCTTGCACAGTTTGTGGCACTTTTTAAAAAATCTTCTGTCCTGAGACAGAGTCTCTGTGTAGTCAAAGTTGGCCTTGAACTCACTGCCTCAGCCTATTGCAGGGACTACACCAATGATAGTGGAGGAATGCGCCACCATGCCCAGTCTCTTGGCTGTTTTTTTGGGGTGGGTGGGTACCAGGAACCGAACTCAGGACCTTGCGTTTGCCAGGCAGGCACTGTGCCACTGAGCTATGTCCCCAGCCCTCTCTTTGCATTTTCTAAGACACTCTGGAAGTCTGATAATCATTAGTGTCTAGTTGTGCTGGCAGGGCTACCTTGGTGTCCTGAATTGATACAAAATGTGTACCCTTGCTGTTTTTTTTTTTTTTTTCCTGGAGACGGGGTCTCACTATGTAGTCAGGCAGGACTTGACCTCTGTAGGTATGGCTGGCCTCAAACTTTGGCAATCCTGCCTCAGCCTTCTGCATGCTGGGATGCCTGGTAGCACCTTTTTTTTTTTAAGTCCTGGGGATGGAACTCTCCAGTGCTTTTAAAAACTGTTTTATTTTGAGACAGGATCTCTCTGAGTTTCCAGGCTAGGCTTGAACTTGCAGTCCTCCTGCCTCAGCTTCTCAGAGTGCCACCACATCTGACTTTTCGTGATCATTTTTATTTTGTTTTTTGTTGGTCTTGCTATGCAGTTCAGGCTGGCCTTGAACTCACTATGTAGCCCAGGCTGGCCTCGAATTCGCAACAGTCTTCCTGCCTCAGCTTCCCCGAGTGCTGGGATTGCAGGCATGCACCACGCCCAGCCGTTTTGACTTGGAAGAGCCAGAGTTCTCATGGTGTGAAATCTGCTGAGGTGGATGAGGGTATACCGCAGGGATTTATGAGCCGCCATTTGTAAGAGCTGTGCGATAAGTACCTTCAAAGTGAGAAAGTATTTTGGGGGAATTAATGGCAGTGTGTCTTTTACTGTAATAGGTTTTTAGAAATGAAGCATGTGTACATATGTGGTTGAGGACTAAAGTAGTACCAGCTGAGCAGCGAATGGTATTTGGGAGAATATTCCTAGACATCTCAATAGCGCCTTTCTAGGTAGTACTCTAAAAGCCTGGGATCTTCTTGAGGTTGTGTTTCTGTGACAGTGAGCACAGGTAATACGTAGCTTCCCAGAGAAACTGAGGGCTTTGACAAAAAAGAACCCTGTGAACTTCTGCGCAGATCTGTTCAACCAAAACCTTTGACTTGTGCTACATAAATGAAAGATGGGTGTGGTACCCCAGCTGAAACCATTTTTCAAGCAGGCAGCCCTACCAGGCGGAAGAGGACTTCGCAAGAGGTAGTTGGTCGCCTGCTGCAGTGCGCAGGGCTCAGGGCCTTCCTAGTCTGGAAACGCAACTCTTCCAAATTTAGGAGCCCAGGGAAGCACGTCCTTAAAGCAGGTGCTTAGCGCACCTGGGGTCTGGCTTTGGTCCCCTGCACCAAGAAAAAAAAAACCTTGAACTTTTTTTCCTTTTTTTTGGCAGTGCTGAAGATTGAATTCCTGAGACAGAATTTCACTAACTTTTAACTTGTCCAGGCAGATCTTGAGTTTGCCATCCTCCCGCCTCAGCCTTTCTAGTTAGAGCTGAGCTACATCCCCAACTTTTATTTATTTATTTTTTTGAGATAAAGTTGCCAAGATAGGGCTTAAACTTGAAGTGTCCTCCAGCCTGAGCCTCCCAGAATGAGTGCTAGGATTACCTGTGTGCACCCCCACACCCAGCCTCTGTCATTTTATTTAAATTCTCACAGGGAATTTATGTCACACTGCTCTTTCCACAAGTGGGCAAACTGCACTCTTGAAATTTGCCAACGCTGTTACCGTCTTGTCACCAAAGTCTGGGTCGAAACAGTTGACCAGTTTTGTTTTTCCCTTTTTCTGTGCTAGGGATTGAGCCCAGTGCCTTTCACACTAAATTCCATCCCCAGCTCTTGAAATCTTGTTTGAGGCAGGGTCCTGCTGTACTCCCGTGCCGGCCTGGAGTTTACTGTGTAGCCCAGACTGGCCTCCAGCCAGTCCTGCCTCAGCCCCCTGAAACTAGGACTGCAGGCGTGTGTACCACTACCGTGGCTCCCAGAAGAAGAAACATTTGTAGCATGAAACGGCAACACTGGCACTGGTGCTGCTTCTTTCTGGCATTTTCAGTTGGTGGAATGATCATTTATGAGGTTGGAAAATTTGCCTGCCCAATAGCATCAAAATTTGGGTCTGTCTGTCTTGTGCTGGGGATTGAGCCTAGGGCAAGTGACCTTGGAGCTACACTCTCAGCCAAGATTCTTTTTTTGAGACAGGGTCTCACTACGTAGTTCAGGCTGGCGTTGAAGTCACTTTGTGGCCCAGCCTGGCCTCGAATTCATGGCCATCCTACCTCAACCTGAAGAGTGCTGGGATTGGTGGCATGCGCTGCCACACCCACCTGCAAGATTGTCTTCCTTGTACTGGAGCTTGAACCCAGGGACCTCATGCATGCTAGGGAAGTGTTCTACCATTGAGTTACATGTTCAGCCCCCCGGCCAAGAATTTTTAAAGGATAATTCTAGTTAAATAAAGAAATAGCTCCTTGATACCTTACCAAGATGAGTATTTTAGTTCACCATGTAACATTGAAAGTTAAGATGGCCAGGTGCACATACCTGTAAACTGAGCACTCAGAAGGCTGAGGCAGGAGGATCACTGTGAGTTCAAGGCCAGCCTAGACTATATACAGCCAGATCCTGTCTCAAAAAAAAAAGAGGAAAAAATACTGGTGGTTGTAAGAATTGAGAATGCCGGTGGTAATCTTTTGTCAGCAAAGTTGAAGTAGTTGTATAAGTTCTGAAGTAATTTGTTTCTAATCTGTTAAAAAGTGCTGAGTACTAAATATTGTTCTGTTGGTGGAAATTGTATTTGAATTCTTTTGCATTTAAACGCTAATTATCGTTTTTTTCAGGAGAGCGCCCATATAAATGTGAGCTGTGTCCTTACTCAAGTTCTCAGAAGACTCACCTAACTAGACATATGCGCACGCATTCAGGTTGGTGATTCAGGGACCTTTTCTACCGTTTTCAGTAAACTGCCATTTTAATTTCTACTTAATTTCTGATGTTTTCATATTTTGTTATAAAGTACTGTTATAACGATGCTTTTAGACATGGAACCAAGTCTCTTTTTTTATGGCCTATTTTTTTTGGTCTTTTTGAGACAGGGTCTCCCTATGTAGTTCAGGCTGACCTTGAGCTCACTTTGTAGCCCAGGCTGGCCTCGAACTCACGATTCCCCCGCCTCAGCCTCCCAAGTGCTGGGATTACAGGCGTGCGCCACCACGCTTGGCTTTATGGCCTATTCTTGAAACAATTTGGAAATTGCAGTGAAAATAATGTGTTGTAGTAATAGAGCTGTATTGACATGGAGATTGTTCATAAGGGTTCTGAAGGGGGACCCCCTGAAACTGAATGTAATTTGTATGTGCACTCTTTCTGGGAGACGGGACTTAAATAGCTATGTAGGGTTTTTTTTTTTTTTTTTTTTTTGTCTTTTTGACACAGGGTCTCACTATGGAGTTCAGGCTGGCTTTGAGCTTACTTGGTAGCTGAAGCTGGCCTTGAACTCACAACGATCCTCCTGCCTCAGCCTCCCAAGTGCTGGGATTACAGGCATGCACCACCACGCCTGGCTTTATGTAGGTGTAGTCCAGGCTGGCCTTGAATGCGTGGCAGTCCTGCGTCAGCCTCCCAAGTGCTGTGATTATGGGTGGACACCACCATGCCCAAGTCTGATTTTGACCATTTACCCTTTGACATTCCTCTCTGATTTAGTAGGGATACCAAGTGCTGATTTAGAAAAGCTGAACTGAAAGAAGTGATACACACTCTGGAAGACCAATTTACTAACCTAGAACAGAGAACACTTCATACTCTCACAAGGAGGAAGTTCCAGGAACTGGAACAGTCTGTCCCTCCTCAGTGTCGTACCACTAAAATGGTACAGAGTAAGCCCTCGGGCTGGGGATGTGCAGAGGTAGAGCCTCAGGCCCAGCACCACACAAAAGGTAGAGAGGTTAGCGGTATGTGGTGGTACGCTCCTGTACCCAGCACTCAGGAGGCTGAGGCAGGAGGATAGTTGCGAGTTTGAGACCAGCCTGGGCTACAAAGTGAGCTCAAGCCCAGCCTGAACTGTATAGAGAGACCCTGTCTCAAAAACAAAACAAAACAAAAAAACCAAAAAAACCCAGAAAGGTAGAGGTTAGCTTGGTCTTTCTTGCCCTAGGATGTGGAGCATTGACCCTGCCTTCTGCACTGCCCACTGAGCTACATCCCCAGTCTGCTTAGACACTCCAACCGCCCACTGTACTTGCCCCAAACAACCGACCCCCCTTTCCGGATGTACAGTGTACATTCCTGTGGGCAAAGTATGCTGCACTCCTGTGACTTGTGAATGTCACTGTAGACCTACCTCCTTTAAGTTAATAATTACTGTAGATGTCTGCAGTCCAGCTGTGCAGCCAGTAGCTGCCTATGGCTATTGAATTACGAGATGTGGTGGGTTGAATTGACACTTACTAGGTACAAGTACATACTGGATTTCAAACACCAGGAAGAAAAGAAAGTGAGATACCTAGTTTTAAAATACTGACTAGGTGTTGAAAAACTGGATTCCAATTTTTTTTTTGGTACTGGGAATTGAACTCAGGGCCTCGTGCTTGCCATGCAGTTGCTTGTGCTGCTGAGCTATATCCCCAACCCCAAAATACTGGATAAATTGGGTTAAAAAGTTGATAAAATTTCACCTATTTTTTTCTTAAATAATTTTTGTAATGTGGCTGCTTGGACATTGTATATGTAATTGTACTGAGCAGCTATAAAGATTGCCCATAGTTTAAAAAATTTTTTTTGGTGTTGAGGATTGAACCCAGGGCTCCATGCTTGGTCTACCACTGCACTGGTCTCCAGTTCTCCAGTGTTCTTGCTGCCGTATGTTGACTGACCCTGCTTAATCTGTCACGTTAATATAGAGCGAGTGCCTTTAAATCTTATGCTATTGAGCTGTGCCACATAATTCCTGGTTTCATTCTCCAACAGTAAGTTGGATGCAGTTGGAGGCTTTTTTTTCTCTGTTGAACAGAGTTTCGCTGTGTAGTTCAGGCTGGCCTTGAACTCAAGGTGATCCTCCTGACTCAGCTTTTGGGTGCTAGGATTACAGGCGTGCCCCCCTCATGCCTTACTTTGTTTTTAGTATTGGGAGTTGAATCCAAGATCTTCGCACTGAGCCTCATCCCAGCTCTTTAATATTTGAGTCAGGGTCAATAAGCTGCTTAGGCAGGGCTTGAGTTTGAGGTCCTTGTGCCTCAGCCTCCCAGAGTGCTAGGATGACATGTCCCTGTGTCCACACATCAGGCTGGCCTTTATTAATGGTAGGTTGTATATCCTGTTGTTAGCTATACTCTAGCCCTTTAATAAAACATTTAAGAGGTTTATAGAAGATAACTCGTTAGTCTTCATTGGTATCTTATACTGGGTAAATTGTATTTACCCCCATCTTTGGGAATACTGAAACATTAAAAATACAGCCGTTCGTCCTATACATTGTCCTTTGCTGGGAGTAGTGTGGCGCACGCGTGTAATCCCAGCACTTGGGAGGCTGAGGCAGGAGGATCACTGAGTTCGAGACTAGCCTGGGCTACAAAGTGAGCCTCAAGGCCAACCTGAACTGCACAGGGAGACCCTGTCTCAAAAAAACAAGACCAAAAAACTATACAGTATCCTTTGTGGTCCTACCCGTTTTCTGGGGTCTTTTACCCTTCCTTCTTATCCTTCTATTACCTAAAATCTGGAACATTAACCCTAAATGCTTGGTATTTATCTTGGCTTGTAAATCCTTTGAAGGCACATCTAACTGACGCATCATTTAATGATTCTAAACTGGATTAAAATGACACTCAGACAGGGTCCTGCTGTGCAGGGAAGGCACGCTGGCCTGGAAGGAACTCCGCAGCGATCCTCCTGCCTCAGTGCTGGGATTACAGGCTCATGTACCACGCCTGGCTCACACTAGTGTCTTCCTTGACTTGTCCTGTTGTTGTTTAAATGTTTAATCTCATTTTTTTCCTTTTTTACTACCGCACTGAGGATTTGAACCCAATGCCTTCGCACTGAGCTACATCCCTAGACCAGGCTGGGTTTGGATTTGCGATCCTCTTGCCTCAGCCTCCCAAAGTGCGTGGCGTTCCAGGTGTGCATTATCATGCTCAGTTTATCTGTGGTGTGTTTTTTTTTAAAATTTTATTTGAAAGAGAGTAGTAAATGAGAAACAAAGAACAGTAACAGCATACCAGTATCACAAATATCAACAAATCAAAGCAAGAACATTCAAAGTAATACAGGGTTTCAAGACAAAATAATACAAATTAACAGTGGTCGTTACATTACATATCGCTGCCCTCAGCTGCGTTGCTCAGATTATCAGATGTAAGAATAGAAGATTGTTGGAACCATTAAAGATATGTGTGGTGTTTCACAGCAGTTCACGATCTTTCGGTTGAAACACATCTGAGTTTGCCAAGTGTTGCTCATAGTTTCAGTTGCTGTATTTTAAAGATGGTTTTCAGGAATTGCCCTTATAGCGCTATAGTATTTTAGGAGTGTTTCTGGGTTTTTTTTGTTGTTGTTTTTTGAGGCTGGGTCTCTATAGTTCAGGCTAACCTTGAACGCATGGAGATCCTGGCTCAGCCCTCCTCAGTGTTGGGATCACAGCTGTGGGCCACTGTGTTCAACTGCTGTTACATGTTTTTATATGCATTCAACCTGGCTGTTTTCCTTGTGTTGTTAGCGTAGTAATTCATTTTGCCTTCTTCCTCATTGTATGTGCATTGGTTATTGTTAAGGGGAACTGCAAGTTTCATTTCCATTTATTATGCTTCTCCAGGGATGGTATATAGATTGAACACAGGATTTATGCTTGCTAAGCAAGTATTCTCCACCGAGTTAGATGCCCTCACCTGTTTTTTATATTTTGGTCTGTGGTACTGGCGATTACACGCAGCGCTTTCACACTGCATTCCATCTGCAGCACCCCTGCCCTGCGGCCATCCTCCTGCCGCACTCTCCCCGAGTGCTGGGATTGCAGGCGTGTGCCACCACACCCTTATTTTTTTTTTTTGAGGCAGGGTCTCACACTAAGTCACTCAGTTGCTCAGACTGGATTCAAACTTGCAGTCTTGGGCCGAGGACAGAACTCAGTGGCTCAGCACCTCAGCGCCTGCCTGGCAAGTGCAAGGTCCTGGGTTCGATTACCAGTACCAGCGAAAAACAAACGACAAACTTTCCGTCTCCCTGAACCACTGGGCTACAGCCCCTGTGCTGTTTGGCTTTATTTCGGCAGGGTCTCTGATGTGTTTTGGACAGGGTGATGCAGGCCTGAACTTGAACTCCCTCCCCCTGCCTCAGCCGCTGGAGTGCTGGAGTTCAAGCATGAGTGACATGCCTGGCTAATGATGTAGAAAGTCTTGATAGATACATATTCTAATAAAAGCAAGATTTACTGGCAACAAAATGAGAATCGGAAGAAAAATCTAATGGACATGTAATTCATGCCATCAGAATTCTAAGCAGAATCTTCATGTCTTCTCGCTTGAGCGTGTCTTAGGGAGGCTTGTACCGTGATGGATGCGTGTTGTGTACATCCTCTCAATTCATTGATTTACTTATTTTTCAGTACTGGGGATCGAACCCAAGGGTACTCTATCACTGAGCTATGTTCCTAGCTTTGTTGTTTTTTGTGTTTGTTTTTTGTGTTGTTTGCAGGCAATGTCTCGCTAAGTTGCCTGAGTTGGCCATAAACTTGCTGTCTTCCTGCCTCAACCTCTTGTAATTCTTTCACTAGCACACATCTTCATAAAGTGATAGCTATTTGGTTACTCAGAGGTATGCTTTGTACAGGAAATAAATACGAAGCAAGCATGTACCAGAGCTACACTACAAGCCCTTCCAACATTTTATTTATTTAGGTTCTGGGATTGGACTCAGAAACTTGCGCTTGTCAGGCAGGTGCTATGCTGCTGAGCTATATCTCCAGCCCCCCTTTTTTTATTTTTGAGCCAAGGTCTCAGTAAGTTTCCCAGGCTGACCTCAGGCTTGCTGTGTAACCTAGGCTGGTCTCAACACTCAGTGTTCCTATCTCAGCCTCCGGAGTAGGTGATATTACAGGCATGTAATACTGTGCCTGGCTATTACGTTTTACTCATAAAAGTTACCAGTTGCTTCTAAAAGTGAGTGGTTAACAGGTTATGTGTATGGTGGATTGCCTGCTCAGAACTTCATGTTAGCTACTTACCCACTTACTAGTTCAGTTATTTAGATACAAGATGACCAAAAATTGCTTATTTTTTCATTTTTATATTATAGGAAATATAAAAATGACAATTTTATTACATTTATTCACTATAAGCATCAACTGGTGCTGGGCGTGGTAGCACACATCTGTAATCCCAGCACTTTGGAGGCTGAGGCAGGAGGAGGGTCATTGTGAGTTTAAGGCTAACCTGAACTGTGAGATCCTGTCTCAAAAAAGATCCCTCCAAAAAAGAATTAACTGGTTGAAATGATACCTGCCTGAGTGACATTCGGGGTAAACTTTACATGGTTAACACAGATCATTAAATTATTTAGCCTTTCCAATACCTGGGGGGAGTTATTTATAAAGAAACTGTGCCCGGAGAGGCTTGATGCCGTGCATCAAGTGTGTACGCTTACTGCAGAGCCCACAGTGCAAGCCCTGACTGTAGAACAAGCCTTAGGCCACTGCCGCCTACCTGTCTTTCTCCATTTTCTGCCTGTGTGTTACATGCTCAGATTTGTTTCCAGTTAGAGCCCTCAATGCAGGGGACACGGTAGTAGGCCCAAGTAGAGTAACGCTGCACGTTGTAGACCGTTTTCTAACATGCAAAAGAGCTAGTAGAGCTCTTCGCTTCTCCATGATCTGACTTACCTGGATTCAGTGTTTGGGTTTATGATTTGGTAGTTTAACGGTACACATTTGCTAGTCACATAAAGATGAGTATCTATGTGGTTTTGTTTTGTGCATGAATTTGCTTTATAAAAAACCTTAAAGTTTTTATGTAAATTTGAGAATGTTTGAGACGAATTTTCATAAATGTTAATTTCCGTTTCTCTACTATGCATCTCATTGGACCAGTGGGGTATGGATGCCGTTTGGTAATATGTTCTAGAGTGTGATCTAGATGGGTATGTATCAGGTAGACCGTGTTCTTGTGCCTTTGGCTTGGGGCTGGGGGGGTCCGGTTTGATGTACCTGTGACTATGACTGTTTGCTTGTGTTACATACCATATCTATTTGTGTGTCCTTTCTCACTTAGCCTAGCTTCTTCACTCATTTTATACAGATTGGAGGGAAAAAGCATTTTTGCTCAAAAATAGTACCTCTGGCATTGGGAAAGTTTGCTGGGTGAGGTGAACTCAGGTTTTGCTGGGATGATGAGAAAAGGGTTACATTTCAAGAAAAAGCTTTTGCTTCCGTTTGCTCCTGCAGGCCAAAGCATAGTTTTAAGGCTTTTGTACTTAGGTTCTGGAGTATAGCCCAGAGTAAAAGATCTTTCTCCCAAGATATTTTCAAATTGTGTGAAATTTTTATTTTTTGTTTATTTATCAGTTGGTTTTTTGATACAGGGCCTATGTAGTGCAGGCTGGCCTTGAACTCACTGTGTAACCCAGGTGCCCTCAAACTCTCAGGGATCCTCTGGCCTCAGCCTCCGGAGTGCTGGGATTACATGTGTAGGCCACCACGCCAGGCTCTGGAACTTTTACATTATACTCAGTCATACTTTTTTTCTTTACCTAAACTTAAAAAATTTTTTAATTTTGTTTTCTTCGTGTGACCTTGTCCACAAATGAATTTCTAGAGCCCATCTGAACTCTGCCAATAATTTTATATTTGATGAGGTTCTATTCTTTGTTTAAGAGCCCTACCTTGAACTTTTTTGAAGATGGTTGAGATGATCACTGTCTGCTTAGTTTGTGAGTCAGTGTTGAGGGATAGAGAGAAGTTACACAAATAAATATGGTAAATACAGGGTGCATGGTAGTCTTTTCAGTAAACAGTCCTTGTGGTTACTTTGTATATACAGTTCCTTATAAGTCCCTTAAACCTTGAGTGGAGGGCTCTGGTCTGTTTCTAATCCTTGGTGTTTCTCTTCAGGTGAGAAGCCGTTTAAATGTGATCAGTGCAGCTATGTGGCCTCTAATCAGCACGAAGTAACCCGCCATGCAAGACAGGTGCACAATGGTCCGAAGCCTCTTAACTGCCCTCACTGTGACTACAAAACAGCAGATAGAAGCAATTTCAAAAAGCACGTTGAGCTCCATGTTAACCCACGGCAGTTCAATTGCCCTGTGTGCGACTATGCCGCTTCTAAGAAGTGTAATCTCCAGTATCATTTCAAATCCAAGCACCCTACTTGTCCTAGTAAAACAATGGATGTCTCAAAAGTGAAACTTAAGAAAACCAAAAAGCGAGAGGCTGACTTGCCTGATAACAGTGTTACTAATGAAAAAACAGAACAGACAAAAACAAAGGGGGATATGGCTGGGAAGAAAAATGAGAAATCGATAAAAGTAGAGAAAAAAGATGTTTCAAAAGAGAAGAAGCCTTGTAGCAACGTCCCGGCGAGCCAGGTGACGACCAGAACTCGCAAATCAGCCGCGGAGACAAGAGAGGCGGGCGTGCACCCAGGGGCTGGTTCAGAGAAGCCCTGTAAAAGCAAGAGCAGCAAACGCAAGCTGGAAGCGGAAGTCCAGGCCCCGCGCGCCCCTGCGGACGAGGAGGGACCGGCAGCGAAAAAGAGGAAGAAGGCGGAGAGCAAATCGAGAAGTCAGGAGGTGCCGAAGGGCGACGGCCAAGGAGGGGAGAGTAAGGAGGAAAGTAGAAAGCACGGTGCCGGGCTGAGGAAGAGTACAAAGAAGAAGGCGCTGAAGACTAAGTCAAGCCGGAGAAGCGCCAAGGCGCCTCAGAAGGAGCCGGCTGCGGGGGAGGCTGCGCCCCGGGGCCCTGCGCGCGCGCCCCCGGC